GGATGTAAACAGGTCAAGTCCATGCTCTGAAGAAACTTACATTCTGGGTGGAATAAAGTGGGGGTTGATACACAATTAACAAATGAGAAAATAACAAATTAACAATTTGTTAATTATAAAGTAACAATTAACAAATGAGAAAATAATACATGGTAATTCATCACAAGACATGAGGAGATTAAAAAGACAATAAATATTTCTTGTCCACACTAGAATCACAGGTATAATCTTAATTGATGAATTTAGCAAAGAAATGGTACTTCGTCACAAGACATGAGGATTAAAAAGATAATAAATATTTCTTGTCCACACCAAAACCACAGGTATAATCCTAATTGATGAATTTACTGAAGTTCTTTCTTGTTTTTTTTTTTTCTTCAACTTTTAAGTCCTGGAGAAAATGCTTAGGATGTGCAGGTTTGTTACACAGGTAAACATGTGCCATAGTGGTTTGCTGCACAGATCAACCCATCACCCAGGCATTAAGCCCAACATCCATTAGCTATTCTTCCCGATACTCTCCCTCCCCACACCCTGATAGGCCACAGTGTGTGTTGTTCCCCCCACCTGCTGCCCCATGTGTCCATGTGTTCTCATCATTCAGCTCCCTCTTATAAGTGAGAACATGTGGTGTTTGGTTTTCTGTTCCTGAGCTCTTTCTTGTTTACTGACATTAGCCCAAGGTTAGTCTTTTGTCCTGACAAATTGTCAGATAAATTGACATTAGCTCAACGTTAGTCTTTAGTCCTGACAAATTGTCAGATAAACTCAGATTCAGAAAGAAATCGTCAGGATTTCTGGCAATTGATAGGGATTACATATGGCAATTTATAGACATGCATGTGGAACTCTTGAATGAAAAGGAAGTTTAGTCAATAAAGCACTTGGGAATCACTCTTTTTGGGCAGACTGAACTTGAGCAGAAGCAAGCATATCCACTTGAGTCAAAGGCATGGGCCTTGTTTAGGAACAGAGGTACCAGGGTGGCTGAGAGTGGAGGAACCAAAGGGGAATTACAAAATCTTGATCGAGATTGAGATGGAGACAGAGGGAGCAAGATAAATGGTGTAAAGTCAAGTCAACTGTCAGGTCCAATAGGCAAGTGCTGACTGGGAATGGGAGACAGTGCCCAAAGGTCATGGGTGGAGTAAACACAAGCCCAGATGAGGAAGCGAAAGAATTCAATATTTTGTTTGTGTCTTAATGGGTGCCAACTACAAGGGGTGGGTGTGGGTGGCCTAGTTACAGGTGAAGGATAGGAATTGACAAATAGTAGTAATCCTTTTGCAATTCCAGAATTCCTTTCATTAGTGGATTGTAAAGTGATTTTCAGATTAGAGAGTCCCGACAGCATCAGCATAATCTTACTTTTAAAAATGGCTAAAAACCAGAAAGACAGCAATTAGTTAACATTTATTGGCTGTCAGATATTGTTTCTAAGCACTTTAATGCCTTATTTCATTTAATCTTCATAAGTACACTTTGAGAACCAAGCTTATTAATAGGGAGCTAATTAAAGAATGACTAAAAACATACGTGACATTTGGAGGGAACTTGTATAATGTCATCAATGAAAATGAGTCCTAGTCATTCATATATTGATTTGTTCACTCACATATTTATTCAGCCTGTAATAATTGGGCACCTAATACATGTTGGGTGCTATTCTAGGGCCTTTGTCTGGATAATGTTATTGATTTCATTGTTTAACAGAGAGACAGTGGAGGGAGCAAGGGATTTTGAATCAGAAAATCTAGGTTCTGTTTCTAATTCTAACTGGTGCTGTGGTCCTTGGAAAAGTCAGGCTGCTTCTCTGTTTAATGTGTGCTGATGTAAAACAAGGAGCTAAGATGCTTGAGGTCTTTTAGAATTTACTGTTAAAGTATTCAGTAGCTTTATAGTACATTAATGGTTATAATAAATACTCACTTATAGTCTGTCATTTTACCCTCCCACCCCCATCAGGGAAATCATAGTATTTATGAGGCTTTAGAGATGGAAACTTGTCAGGGATTGGACCAAGTTCCTCTGCTCTTTTCACTGAATTTCTCTGCCTTCCATGTAGGATTTTGTGTTTAATTTCTAAAAGAATTATAAGAGAGCTGGGTGCAGATGTCAGAGGAAAAGGGAGAGATATAGATGACATAGAAGACAAGGAGAAGTTAAGACTGGGAAGGACAATGTACTAGCTCTCAGGAGCTTTGTGCCTTGTCTCTGAAATCATTCAGGGCTGCTACAATCATCAAAAAAAAAAAAAATGTATCCAAAGGCATAAGAAGAGAGACCTTCCAACTGGTGGAAATTACATTAAGGCAGATTTGGGTTCAGTAAAATGGTAGAAGAGTTCCTCACTGGACATTCCGATTGCCCATGACTGGGCAGAGCTAAAACAAATGGGTCATGTTACAAGGCAAATAACTTTTTAATTTTAAAGCCCACCAGTCAATAGATTACTATGGCCAAGGACGAAATGGGCCACTCTGGTAGGAAGTGAGCTCCTCTTCATGGTGCATGCTTATGCCGAGACAACGTAAAATCCTAGAGGGGTTAGCAACTTGGATCTGGGCTACAAGACCGGGAAAGGGACTTTCAACTTCGAAATGCTATGACTGTAGGAGGCAGGAGGCTTACAATTTTATCTGTAGTCTATAACCCCTAGTTCAGAGTTTAGATATTCTTAGGGTAAACTACTGGGGAATATTGAAGTCCCTTTTGCAGGCACTGACATCCAGGCCAAATTCGTTAATTAATTTATTTTATACAAGAAGTTTCTTGTATAAATTTTTGACAGAATACTCACCCTAACCCCTGTTTTTGGCATTTCTGACCTCTCATTCTTGACAAATAACCATGATAGGGACTTCTCCGGGAGCCAGAATTGAAATCAGAGTTGGACCAACACATTGAAATTCTAGGCCTACCAGTCAATAGATAAACAAGGTTACCTTTGAATTTATCCAGCGCCCTTATTTTCCAAAATGTTTTTCATCTACTAGCTTTATTAGAAGTGTATCAGTCAATTGGTGTTGTCTGAGGATAATAACTTTGACAAGAGAAGGTGTATGGAAGTGCTTTGTAACAGTGAAACAGTCTGAAAAGTTAGAATTTTTATTATTGTTATAACCTGCCAAGGCCACAGTACTGGTTATTACCAGATCCATATCTAGAGCGGGTTACTTAGAATCCTTTTGGAGGTAAATAAATAGCACTACTGATAATTTGAAAAGAAGCAAAATCCAAGTCTCTTTGATTGACCAGCAGACAATAGTAAAGTTTAGAGCTGGATTTTACAAGCATGAGAGGACCAAATCAGGATCACTTAAACACGGGCGGTTGTTCCAGTCCAGTGAGTAACTGTGGCATGAATGTGAGTCTGTAGAAATCTAGCCTTGCGACCTTGAGTAAGGCATGTTAAGTTCCTTGAGTCTTACTTCTTCACTTGTGAAGTGGAAATACCTATCGCTACATTTAGGTGCCTTTTTGGATCATTGTGAATGCACACAGTATCTAGGAAATAGCAAGTCATGAATACATGCTAAAGATTATTAACAGCTAATATTGATTGCACATCTGGTATGTGCCAGGAATTATGGGAATCCTCAAAGCATTTCTAGGAAATAATTGGGACAATGACGGGTTGGACATGGGGATGAAGTGGCCACCAGCAGTGGACCTGAACGAAATGACTTTCTGCTTAGTTTAGTTCAGAGGCCACGAGTGTAAATCCATCTTTCCCTGATGGTGAGGGGCATTTACAAGCTAAGGCTACACTAATAATTTAAAGTGGACTGGGAAATAGTGATTAAAAAATACCTCCAAGTGATGAAAAGACACTGTTTAGACTTCTAAAGGAAATGGTTTTAAAAATAATCCCCAATTGATTGCAACATTAAGAACATTCTTAAAATGTTACCTTTGTCCTGATCTCTTAATCCCCATAAGGGGTGTTCTGTAAAGGTTCTTTAAGCATTTGAAGCCACTAATACCATGAGTGGAAAAAGAACACACTCTTTTAATTAAAGTGGAAAATTGCTATGTTCATGTTAATTTCAACCGAGAACACCTAAAAGTATAAGAGAATACATATTTCCTGGTCTTAGTATCCAGGGCTTAGGATTATTAAAGATCAGTAGCATCAGTAGCCAAAATTGTTCCTATTTTACACTTCATAATCAGGAAGACTGTTGAGAGGGGAGAGTTAGCAGGAGATGGATTTTAGTTTTCCAATTACGTCAGCCTAGTTGGAGAACATCTAAATGCCATTTTTCCTTGACCTTTGAACTGTCTTCTCCCTTGCTCTTGGGCAACACAGCAAATGACCCTCACAAAGCAGCAAATTAGTAGCAAGTGTCAAGGCTGACACTTCTGCTTTTCAATCTAGTTGTTTGTTTCGCTATCCAAAGCTGCCTTCTTCAGGAGTAGCTAGCTGCACTTGGCAGAATGAAAAACTGTGCTTCCGTTTACTCATTTTTCCCAAGGCTAATTTAAAAGTGCTGTGGGTAGGTAAGTGATGTTGATAATGGGAACATCTTAAGCTATTAAGTTGAGAACTGAAATATCAGCATGGGCACAATAGCCTCATTCTCTAGCTGATGGAAATGAGCCCATATACTGTTTTTTAGCCTGAGAGGGCCATGTGTCGTTCCTTTTGGTCTCCATAAGCCAGGGGATCTGGCTCGCCAGAGCTGGGAAGATTATAGCATTGGAGCAAATAATGTGCTTTAGTCTGAGATTCTTTAAGGCCCAAATTTGCTCCAATTGCTTCATCCCGGGTTCTCACTTGTTTCCCCCTCATCGGTTTTGGTGACATTATTTTCCAAAGTAGCCCAATTGCATCAATCATTTATTCTAATGTAAAAAAATTGGAGGATTTTTTCCTTTGTGTTACTGTGTGCGAACATTGGTCCACCTGATTCATTACACATAGGCAGCATGGTTCACTGGATGTGTATAGGATTCTGAATCAGACCAAAAAGGATATAAACATGACTTGTGCCACTATCTAGCCTTGTGACCTTGAGCAAGGCATGTAAGCTCCTTGAGTCTTGTTTCTTCACCTGTAAAGTGGAAATACCTATCGCTACCTTTAGGTACCTTTTTGGATCATTGTGAATGTGCACAGTATCTAGGAAATAGCAAGTCATGAATACATGCTAACAATTATTAACAGTTAACATTGATTGCACATCTGGTATGTGCCAGGAATTATGGGAATCCTCAAAGCATTTCTAGGAAATAAGAACCATTATTATCTTCACTTGCCGATGAGAAAGAGATGGACTAAATACTGGCTTAATGTCCCAAAGGTAGGAGATGGCCATGCCAGGATTGTAGAGCCTGCAGCTGGCCTCTACTCCACATGTAAGAAGAATGGCTGTGCAGGGTTTTGCCACCTGGAGTAAGAACTGCCTGAATATGTATCCCAGGGAGGATTCTAAGACCTGCAGAACTCCTTGCTCCCAATCCCTCCTCTTTTCCATGCCTTCTCATTCATACTTAAGCCAGAAGCTGGGAGGGGCAAATCTGATGCAAACAGACAGGATCACACAGCCAGTAGACCCCTTGCAGTCCTGCTATAACTTGGCTTCACACTCAGCTGTGAACTTGTCAGCTGAACACACAACTGCAAGTGCAGTGTTCCATGTGCATGCCATTAAGAAAACTCCAGTCATTCTAATGTTATTTTATTAGAAGGAAGGAATGGAGTCTTAAATACAGATCCACTCTATTAAGATAGTTGAAAAACATAGATGTAAATATCATGACATTATTGTGCTATCACCATTACATCATCCTGCATACCCCCACTCTCCACAAACTTAAATAGAAGTCATTTTTGTTATCAATACTAAATACCCTTTAATCTAAGATATTCAGATCAGAAACTGTTGTGGTAACTTATGTACAGCTAAAAAGGTGTACAATGCAGATTAAAGAGATCATGACACTTTGCTCTTTCATTAAAATACTAGTGTGTTGTCCATCAACTGATGAATGGATATACAAATGTGGTATAACCCTACAGTGGAATTTTACTCAGCCATGGAAAAAAAAGAAGCACTGATACATGCTACAACACAAATAAACTTCAGAGAACAATATCGTAAGTGAAAGAAGCCAGGCACAGAAGACCCCGGATAGCATGATTCCATTTATGTGAAATGTCTAGAAAGCTAATCTATGGAAACGGAAGGTGGATGAGTGGTTGCCAGGGGCTGGGGGCCGGGGAGAAAAAGGAGTGGAGAGAGACTGCTATCATGTAGTTCTTGGGGTGATGAAATGTTCTAAAATTAGACTATGGTGATGGTTGCACAATTGTAAATACAGATGTCTCCAACTTACTATAGTTCCATGATTTCTTGACTTTACGAGGGTGCAAAAGAGATAGGCATTCAACCTGCTCCTTGATGGGATTAGGTCCAGATAAACTATAAGTTGAAATTATCATAAGTTGAAAACATCCTTTTGACTTAAACAATAGTTTTAACTTTCAACTTGCAATGAGTTTTTGGGCTCTAACCCCACTGTAAGTTGAGGAGCATCTGTATACTAAAATCCATTGAATCGTATACAGTTGTCCCTCAGTATTCACTGGGAATTGGTTCCATGTACAAATTGGTTATGTGCAAATACTACAGCATCTTCTATCAAGGACTTGTGCATCTGTGGATCTAATGAATACCAGAATACCAGATCCACAGACGCACAAGTCTTTGATATAAGACGTTGTAGTATTTGCACAGAACCTATTCACATCCTCCCATATACTTTAAATCATCTCTAGGTTACTTATAATACCGAATACAATGCGAATAGTATGTAAACAGCACGTGAATATTTGTTACACTATATTGTTTTACATTTTGTATTATTTTTTATTGTATTATCATTTTTTTTTTCCAGAATATGTTTTATCCCTGATTGGTTGAATTCATGGATGTAAAACTTGCGAATACAAAGGGCTGGCTATACTTTAAACAAGTGAACTTTATGGAACATAAAGTATATCACAATAAAGCTGCTTAAAAAATACCAGTCTGTTATTTCCTCTAATTATGTCCAAAAATGATAATATTCTTTCATGTTCAGCAGCTCTTTTTGAATAAATAGCAATGAACAAGAAGGCATTTCATTCACTTCCTCTGAGACTTGATAATTAATCTTGTCCTCACCTCCTCACTTATTAACCTGCCCATCAAGTATTTGACTACTGGGAAGGCAGAGTTGCAGAGATAATTAGCTCTCTGCTTATCAAGCACAACTCTCAGGCCAGACCTGCAAATCTGCCTCCATCTCTGCCTCCTTCCCTGTATTCCCTCTTTTTCCTTTCAACCCTTACTGCTAAGCACCCAGTCAGCTTTCAAAATCAGAGCTGAACTGACTCAGAGCAGGGACTTCTGTCTCTGTGGGTCTTCACTGCAAAGGGAACCAGAGCCATTTGTTAATGACTAAAAAGCAGAAACTGATGGAGACAAAAAGAGACGGTGTTGAATTCCCTCCTTTCTGGATGCTGGTGGTGGTTATGTAGGCAGCTTTCATTTCAGTAAGTGTGCACTACAGTAGGAGTGAGATGGGAACCAGGATGCCAATTGAGAGAGCTAAAAAAAATTGTGATGGGCATTAGGCATCAAGAGAAAAAAGTTCTTTTAGTGTTTTTGACTTGCTCAATTTACTGGACAAGCAACTAAGGTGATGGGCAAATTGTATCCTTTGGATTGAAATCTCAGTCCAGTTTCTAAATATTGAGGGAGTCTTCTTCTCTGCTCAGATTTCCTGCATCCATAAGGTATTGGCCAGGGGATGAGCCACAGTGGAACTGTACAACTCAGACAGAACCCTCACTCCACATTCCTCTGGCCTAGCAAAGGTGGGAGGATTTACACAAAGGTCAAGGCATCAACTACAGCAAATGTGGGGTTGAAACTTAACTGGTCTCCAGACAGTAGGTGGACCTCAAGTCTGAAAAGATTCCAGAAACTTTGCCAAATCCACCCCCTCTATCATTCAGAAACATCACCACTATAATGATAGGTTTTAAGCATTGTAATCTACTTTTTTTTTTTTTTTTTTAACTCATTGGATACCTATTTCTCCTTTCTCCCATTTTCTTCTTCCCTTTACTGTCCATCCTCTGCCAGTGAAAGAGTAACTTTACTCCTTCCCACTTTCCCTAAAAGTACCAAGCAGCAGGGTGGGAGTGGGCACAAGGCATGGATTCTGCAAACATGCTTTCTCTGCTACTCCCTTGAAGGACCTAGTCCTGAAGCAGAGAAAGAGAAGTGAGCTTATGGTACAAGGAAATCTGTCCAGAATCCAAGAAGCCAGGTGACTTACACTGGGCATATTGCAAGCCTGTCAAATTTTGAATGCTTGCTTCCAAATGCAGAGGGTGAAGTCACAGAGCTTGCCAGATTTACCAAGGGTGCCTGCTAGGGTTTGCTCCTGGCACTGAATATCCTCAACTACCAGTCTGTGCAGCTGTCATGAGCACCAACCTGATTGCTGATTACCCCTTGGCAAGTTGACTCTTCAGACAGATTAATATTTGCCCTGGCTCTTATGATCCCTCCCCATTGCAAAGAAAACAATAATTGAATAAGTTCCTTTTGATGGTGGTTGGATTTGCTTGGTGTGGCTTGATTTGGTTTACAGCTCGTTTGCGGCAGAATCAAAATGGCTCAAGTCAAGGCAGCTGTGGTTTCAGTAAAGCAGGAGGAATAAGGAGTTAGGACGGGTGGGGCAACCATATCAAGGGCAAGCTACAGGGTTGAGTCATGAGTCCTTTTCACTTAAAGCTGTAGTCTACGCTACCATCCCTGCGTTGCCAGCATCTGCTCACCTGGCTTCTTTGGAACACGGCACACAGGATGGGACACGTGATTCTGAAAGGGCAAGCAATGGCCACAGAACTTAAGGTGTGATCTCAATCCTTCTTGTCAAAAATCACTTTTCAGACAGGAAGTAAATTTTTAGCTCTAAATTATGTAAAGTCAAGAATCTAACCACAACAGAGGACAAAAATGGAAACCTTCTCATAATGTCATTTGTTTGGATGGTGTCATGGGTTGAATTGCATCCTCCCAAAAGAGATGCTAAAGTCCTCCAGTACCTTAGAATGTGACTTCATTTGGAAATAGGGTTCTTGCAAATATAATTGGTTAAGATGAAGTCATAATGCAGTGGGATGGGCCCTTAATCCAACAGGACTCGTGTTTTTGTCAGACAGAGAAGAGACACATAGGGAGGACACTTTGGAAAACAGCGGCAGAGATCAGGGTGATGCAGCTACAAGCCAAGGATTGCCAAGGAGTGCTGCCGCCGCTAGGGTGAGGCAAGGGAGGACTCCACCCACCGTCTCAGAGGGAGCATGACCCTGTGGAAACCTTGATTCCACACTTGTTGCCTCCACAAGTGTCAGAAAATAAATTTTTGTGGTTTTAAACCATCTGGTTGTGGTGCTTTGTTATGTCAGCCCTAATAAACTAATACAGATGATTTATATGTGAGCCGGCTGGGTTTGCCTATAAATGCCTTCTCTGCAACTTCTTATATGAACCAATTTAAAATTTAATAGAATTTTTAGTTAGTGAAAAAAGTTGGATGGTATGGAAATTGGTTGGCCTAATGTGGACACAGCACATGTTTTATTCTAGTGTAGCGTGATGTGCTGAATCCCTGTCAACTCCAGAAGGGATGGCACCAGCTTCAAGAGGCTGAAGAAGAGATCCAGAGCCAGAAAATGAGACACTGGGGTTTTACTGGGGGTTTACATACAGGGGAGAGAGTCTCGTGGTGGCGGGCTGGACAGGAGAACTGCTGGTCCAGTGGCAGTGGGCTGGTAAGAACAACCACAACCTCTGGCAAAAGGCAAGCAGTTTATAAAACATTTTCACTTAACATCCTCCCCATAGCAACCTCAGCCTGGAAACCTTCATTTAACCCCAAACAAAGGATGCTGATCCCCTGTATGGCCCACATTCCCCAGGATGGGCTGGGGCTCAGATGTTCCTCACAGATAAGGAATTAATTTCTAGGATGGCCACTTCCAATTCCTTAGCTCAGAACTCTGAACATATATTTGGGTGCATCAGCCACACAGGGTCATTCTCACAGTAGGCACAAGTCAAGTTATCATTATTAGGAGCACCTACCATACAAGCATCCCTGCCCCCTCCAGTGAGAAAGTTGCTCATGTCCTGTGAAAAGCCAGTGATAATGTTCTGAGTTCACTGCTATGATGTCTTGTTATTCTTTCTTTAAAGAAGAGCTGTGACCACCAGAAAGAGTTTTAAGAATGAATAAGGAGATACAGGACAGACACAGAGACCCTGGAGGACAAATGATGCCAAAAGAATACTTATACCTTTGGCATTTCCCCAGAAGGAGGGGAAAGAAGAATAGAGGGAGGTAGTGATAGTACCTCACCCTTCAATCCTCACTCTGGCTTTGATGTTGTCATTAGCATGTATCCCCAGAAAAGTCACTTATCTCTCTCAGGGCTACAATTTTATTGAGGGGAAATTGATTTCCACTTACCAACCTATGATAAAACATGGAGGAGAAAAAGATAAATAAATTAAACCTTCATGTTCCAGGTCTTCAGGAAAAGCATTTTGTGGTCTCTAAAGTTTCTAGTATCTTGGTTTTGTGTTCAGAACACTCAAGACCATCAACATCTGCATACTCTAGGCCCCGACTCCTCTTTCTAGAACACAGATACTATATTCAGAAACCTTTCCAGCCCAAAGGGAATCTTGTGAAATCAGGATATATACTGTTTTGTAAAAAAAAAAAAAAAAAAAAAAAATCCCAGATATCATGTTATTTTACTCCTACCTATTTCACTATGTATCTCTGGCAATTATGACCATATTCTTATATAACCAGTGTTCTTTTCATATCCAACGGAATTACTAATTCCTTGGTATCAACTAATATGGATACAGTTATATTTTTTGCAATTCATAATAGGAAACACATTAGTCCTATTCAAAATAAGAAACACATTGGTGAATTACTCTAAATTGTTGAAGTTGAAGGGACCTCAGGGAAACAATTTCTGTTAGTACCTAAATTTCTCAAGGCAGAAGGCAGAAGGCTACATGCCCTATTGTTAAATGGCATAGGACATTAGTATGTAATGAGGGACTTTGGGGGTTATCCAGCTGAACTTCTCATTTGATAGATGAGGATGCTGACAACCTGTGATGGTTAATTTTGTGTCAACTTGACTGGGCTACGGGGTGCCCAGATAGCTGGTAAAACATTATTTCTGATGTGTCTCTGAGGGTGCTTCCAGGAGAAACACCCAGTATACTTGGTATTGAATTCATAGACTGAGTAAAGAATGTCCACCCTCACCAGTGTGGGTGGGCTTTATCTAATCTACTGTGGGCCTGAACAGAACAAAAACATGGAAGGGGTGCAAATTCTCCTTCCTTGAGCTGGGACATCCCTCTATTCCTGCCCTTGGACATCAGACGCTTGTTCTCAGGGCTTTAGACTCTCAGACTTATACCAGGCCTCTCTCTGGTCCTCAGGCTTTGGTCGTGGAGTGGGAGTTACACCATCAGCTCTCCTGGTTCTCAGGCCTTCAGAATAAGACTGAAGTACACCACTGGCTTTCCTGGGGCTCCAGCTTGCAGACGGCACATAATAGAGGACTTCTTGCCTCCATAATCGTGTCAGCCAATTTCCATATAAATCTCCTTTCATGTATGTCCATATATATCCTATTGGTTCTGCTTCTCTGGGGAATGTTGACTAACATAGGCCCTGAAAAGCCATGTAACGTGTGGTGAGTCAGAGACCAAAGCAAAATTGTAACCTACCCATTTCTGACTCCCATTCCACAGCAGACTGATTCTTTAGGAATGGAGATGCCATAGGCTTTCTTAGCAGCCAAACTTATTATTTAATTCCAAAGTTATTGTCTCTGGCTCACTATACTCCCAATTAACTACACTTTAAGTTCACTTCCTCCATGTAAATAGAGACCAAGTAGCTTGAATATTCTTCCTTCTAACCTGT